TATATATATATATATATATATATATATATATATATATATATATATATATATATATATCATACGCAAGGGCCTAAGCCCAGTGGGACCGGGAGCTGGCACCACCTGTCCAACCCTTCCTCCCGACTGCTTCCGAGTCCTCTCACCATAACTGACCTCTGTCTCGCTTGAATTTAAATATTTTTCTTTCCTAAACACACAACAAAACAATTATTAAATATTTACATTCATTATTTTGTCAACTTGGCGTTTGTATAGTTCAAACGCCAGAGGTTTGGTGAATACGTCAGCCAACTGATCCCTGGAACTTATCCAGTTTACTTTGATCAGATTGAGCTTGACACATTTCTTGATATGATGAGCTTTGACATCAATTATATGTCTTAATTTATTTCCCCCACTCGTCTCAGCACTACACGTTGCCATCTTATTATCGCATCACAAGGTCATTGGCAACGGAGGTGAAAAATCAATTTCAAGGAGTTGTACATCGACAACATCTCTTGACTCGCCTCACTCATCGCGACATACTCGGCTTGACACGTAGAGAGAGCCACATAGGACTGTTTGTGAGTTCTCCAGATAATCGAATCACCAAACAGTTTAATCACATATCAACACGTGGTCAATGAGCCTTTGCAATCTGCAAAGCTAGCGTCTGAGTTTGCCTCAATCTCACCTGTCTCACCTGTATATCTAAACCCTAAGTCAGTGGTTCCTCTCAAGTACCTCAGTACTCTCTTCACCATTTTCCAATCCTCATCTATTGGACTCACCTGATGTCTGCTCAGAATATTGACAGCGTAAGAAATATCAGGTCTAGTAGTCCCTGCTAGGTACAATAAGCTACCCACTACTTCTCAATAAGGACAATTCAATTTCTCATCAGCCGTACTATAAAACTCACCGTTAGTGTCCGACTCTCTAATTTTTCGCTCGTAGTTAGAGGCCTGTGCAGTAAGCATTGGAGTTCTTTGAGGATGTGAGGTCTTCGAAACCGTATTTTGTCAGTATCTTTTTAATATATTTTTCCTGACTCATTTTTAATATACGATTCTCTCTATCTCGTTGTATTGAAATGTTCAGAAACTCTTTTGGCTCGCCCATTACTGTCATTTGAAACTCAGAACTCAGTTTAATTTTAACCTCATCTAATTTATCTTTATCGTTACTCGCCATAATTATATCATCTACGTATTATAGTAGAATTAGAAATTTTTCCTCACTGCTCCAAGTAAACAGACACGGCTCAAGATCAGAGTTCACGAGGCCCACACCGAGTGCCAGTTCAGTGAATTTCTCATTCCACCGATTTGGACTTATTCGAAGTCCATAGAGAGATTTCTCTAATTTGCACACCTTGGTCTCTCTCTCTTCTGATCTGAGTGATGAGTCCCCTCTGGGATCTCCATGTAGATTTCCTCATCTATCTCACCATTGAGGAATGCCGTTTTCACGTCTAATTGGCAGGTGTCTAAGTTGTATTTGTTAATGATAGCAAATACGGCCCTAACCAAGTGCATTCGCGATACCGGGGCATATGTTTCTCTCAACTCGTAAACATTTCGATCGTTAAAGCCCCGTATAACCAGTCTTGCCTTGTATCGCGTCTCACCGTTCGTTTCTATCTTGCGTTTAAATACCCACCTAGAGTCAATTGTGTTAGCCTTCTGTCCATTTTGATTACTAATCGTTCGGTCTACAATTTTCCACACTTTATTTTTATTCATCGATTTAAGCTCTTCTTCTACCGCCAGTGCCAAACTGCTCTTAACTTTTCTTTGCATCGCGTTTTTATAGTTAATTGGATCTGAATTAATACTGGCAAGAAGAGCATGGTAGACCTCATCAGTAGACTCGTCTCACCTCGTGACAAAAAAGCCAGAAATACTCCGGCTTTCAAGCTCGCATCGATTGGCAAATCTTCAAAGCTTGAATCTGCACTGACTCACCTGCAGATTTGTTCACCTTACATACCTTCAGACTTGGGGTTTCCTTCCTTGTTCTGCCCCTTTTTCTCTTCGTCTCTCCCTCCAATTTGGACGTTTCATTCAAATCGTTCACGTCTTTTTCAAATTCTACAAACCATTTCTCTTTGTTTGTCACTTTTTGAACTTCTGGGACGTTCTTAATCTCACCTTTCTTATATCTATCAACATAGACCTGTTTCTCGTTAAATCTTACGTGTCTACTTTCCTCAATATGTATCCTGTTGGAGTGTATCCAACCAGAATACCTCTCGCACCTTCTGCCTTGAATTTCGGTCCTACCTTTCTCTGTACTTTCATGTACCATGACAAGGTATGTCATTCGCACCTAAACCCTCTGACCTTCTCTTCAATGACCCACCACCACGCCCAAATCTTTTGGCTTGTTGTTTGTCTCACGTGAGTTTGGGCAATCTTTAATTATGTGTCCGTAGCCTTTACAACTGTAACACATTTTGCCCTTACCCTTGCCCGAGCAGTTTCGGCCGAGGTGTCCATAGTCTCCGCTCTCACCTCACTGCTCCCCTCCCCAGACTGTTTCTTTGATGCTTCTTCCTGCATAACAACAAGTTTTAATTGCTCATAAGTTGGGAGCTGCTCACCTCTAAGTTTAGCTGAGGACTGTAGGTACTGTACCGTCAGTACAGACCCCATGATGGCATTATTAAACGCGTCCCTCTTTTCCTCATCGGATAAAGGGGTGGCATCTACTGAATTTTCGTAAGCTCGAATCGCCTTCTCGAACTTCTCACAAAACTCGACTGCTGTCATTTTTCCAATCACATACTGCATATTGGAGATTTCCTTTCTCACTGTAAATGAAGATACATTAGTTTCGTATCATTTTATCTGTTTGAGTTTATTTAGAATAGCTACTGGATCTTCTAGTAATACTACTTTAGAGTGATAGTTTTTATCGATGTGATTGATTAATATGTCTCTCACCTTAAATTTATGCTCATCCAAAGTCTTTTGATCTCCACTGAATTTTACGTTACTATCTAAGACATGCAGGCGTTTGTGAGATCTCACTTCTGACTTAAAATAGTCATAGAAGTATTCAATTCTAGTGTTACTATCTAATTCATAGTCTCTTTTAACTGATGATCCCCGAAATCATGGCCAAAATCACGGCCATCATTTGATAAATCTGACCTATTTCTCACCTTTTTACCAGGGTCCTCAGTTTCAGCCCTCAGCTGATCCTCCGTCCCGTCATCGATATGGGAGAGCCTGTCATCCCGGCCGTTCCTCATCTCTTTTCTCATTTCCTTGATGCTGTCTAGTATCCAGCCACTAGTGTTGGTCTGAATATTTAAAACCTTGACGAGTGTGCTGGTCACAGCATCAAGTTTCGAGCATACCGATTCAGGTCTGCCTTCCACTGGAATTTCAGTTCTTGGTTTGTTCGCGTGGTATTTCATTGGATTTATCGGGTGATTTTGTAACGTGGACCTTATTTCAACTTGACGTTCCACGTACTCGATTTTTGTAATCTGGGGTTTACTTTTACCTGCTTTGAGAGCCTCAATTACTGCTACTTGTCCCGCACCTTGTTCGGCCGATGCACCTTTAGTTTCCTTACCGTCCTCACCGTTCTGACCGTCCTCACCGTTCTCACCATCCTCCCCATTCTCACCATCCTCCCCGCTCTCACCGTCGCTCTCCTCACCTTTGCTCATCTGACTCACCTCGGCAGTAATTGGTGGTTGCTCCTCATAGATTTTGGGCATGATGGGAGGCTTATTGGCGAGGAGCTTCTGCTCATGCCACTCCACCAGTAGTCTCCACTGGTTCCCTGTCATGCTTTTGGCTATTGTGATAAATAGAATCTATGAATATCAGTATTATCATTTGTATTGTAACGTGTTATTTTTGAGATTTCGACCGTTCGACGGTTCGCTGAATATTCCAGACGAGAAGTCACACCATTGGTGAGGCGAGAGTCGTGTTGTTAGAATATTGGACCTTTTGCTATCATTATTTTTGTTAATTTTTTTTGTATGAATCGATGTCTCACCGCTCACCGGATTACATCGTGGGATGGAGACCGGATCTTCGTCGGAT